TGAGCCATAGTCTAACCTCCTTAAAGGAGACTTTATAGGGGATTTGAGTTTAGGGTTTAGGGTCTAAACGGGAGGATTATGTAGGCCATTAGGGTTTAGGGTCTAAAGTCCTTAAAGGAAGTTAAGTAGGGAAGTATTATAGGGGCTATTCATGGGGATACTAGGAGTTTAGTTTATGGCTCATACGGGGATAAGATAAGGATATATGGGCGGTTTCGTGAAGGATTATACAGGGACACGTAGGGATTATGTAGAGTAATTTCTATAGGGAGACTGCAGGGACTACACATGTAGGGGTGTAACGGAATCGACTGGACAAAAAATGGAAAATGAAACGGAAGCTGTTGAAATAATTGAATATGAATATATTCGGAACGGGAACATCAGGGTAGTAGCCGAACGTGGACAATTTGCAATAGCTGCTGTGATATCATGATCAGAATTTAGATTGATGTTGCAAGACAAGAAGGCATGCGGCAAAAGAGCAGCAGATACCAGTAGAAGGTCCGTGATGAGTTCAGAGGCCGTCGTGGTCACGTTGCTTCCTCCTCCTCGTCTAGCAGGCAATAGCAGCGGTGCTGCAGAAGCAGCAACAGCAGCAGGAGCAGGAGCAGTATGCAGCAGCGCTTGCTGGAGTGGTATTAGTGACGCGTTGAAGGTACTACTAGCGGTACTTAGATACAATAAAAGAAACGGTTGGTAGTGATCTTGTGGCGGTGGCTGTGCTGGTAGTGGAGGCAGAGTTGAGTCGCAGCGAGTTTTACGGGGCAACCATCACCCTACACCCCAAGTTGCGCCCTTTCAGAGCGCTAAACTAACACTCTTTAGTATTCCATGTATGCAAGTGCCATGTGTGCAAGCGCCATGTGTGCAAGCGCCGTGCATGCAAGCCTTTAAACCTGATGTTGACAAGCCACTGCCTGAACTGCAGATGGACGTGCACCCTAGATAACGAGAGAAACTAGATGGAGAACATGACTCGATCAGCGCAGCACCCATCTAGCGCCTGCATACTCGCTTGAAATTTCTGACTGATCCTGACCATTCATGAATAAACCTGGTGTTCTGAACCCGAGAGAGACGTCCTCCTTTGCACATGCCAAAGCGCCGATTGGTAGTCACTAGAACATTGAGATCTTTGCCCTTCATGCTTACAAGGTTTGTACATGTCCTGGCGGCAATGAATGGTGCTCCTTCTCAACCCAAGCCACAGTCCCCACCCTCCTGGCCCAGGTCAAATCACAGAGCCATGGCTCCGAACTCGGAGTGGTGCTGAAGTGTAACGTGGATAGGGCTGAAAGAGGTCTAGGGTTTTGGGTGAAGGGTTTAGGGTCTCGCACTTCTTGTGGGGCTTCCTTTGGCTTTGTCGCGTTTTCAGCTTTTGCGGGGCCGGCTGCATAGTCTGGCACGTATCCGGGCTGGCCAGCTTGCTCGTAGGTTCACGTGAATTTTTTCTGATTATCCAAGATCAAGATGCGAAGACCTTCCTCAGATGCTGAGAAGTTCTGAGAGCCATCGTGGGCACCTTGAAAAGTGGAGCAACTCACACAAAACCGCTTCCTCAAGGGCGCTTAGGCAATTTCAAGCACTCACCTGGACGGCAGAAAGAGCATAAGCCTAGAGTAGTGTTTTGATCAAACTATGGTCGGGTGCCCATATTAGGGATGCCCTCTCGGGAGGTGTTTGTCGAGATCTTAACGTTGGTTCGCCATGAACCTTCCTTGTCAAGTAGACAGAGGCACAGCTTTCGAGTCTTGTGAAATTACCTTGCCAGCCCTATAGATACCAGGTACGTATTGCATTTTGCAACAGCTTTTGTGGGACAACGATACCACCTATGCAGCCGTAGGCTTTTTAGCGCAGCCCTTCTGAATTTGCAACCGCTGACTGGAAACTCAATGTTCGCAGCAACGAATGATGGAACACCCAATCTTGCAAAACCTAAAGAAACCTCGACAGCTTCATGTGCTGTTTAGACGAAATGCGGAAAGTGTTTTCTTGGACCCACGGAGGCACGCTCTTGTATCCCCTCCTGGGCTGACGAGCCTCCAAAGCTCTCCGCTTCCTACCAGGCTATGGCCTTGAGCCCG